TGTCACAGCTGCACATCCTTCTAGTTGCTGTATGTGGGACTCGGCCTCAGGATGGACGGAGAAGTGGTGCCTCGATGCGCACCCGGGAGCCGAACCCGGGCCACCAGCATTGCAGCGCGCGCACTTAACCACCAAGCCACAGGGCCGGCCCAGCATATTCTTTTAAATTACCAATTTGCCTCGATTCAAAATCGCTAAGATGTTTTGTGAAACATCGGAAAATTTAATTCATGTATGTGTGCTAGTAGAGTATGTTAATTCATGTATGTGTGCTAGTAGAGTATGTTCTGACCTCCAGGGCCACTGGGAAAACAGTTTATTATGATATGTGGAATCTGGCTGAGACAAATAGCCTTTATTTTCACAACTTGAGTCATGAGGTGCATTTGTTTTTATTTCATTGAAAGAGTTAAGAAATCAGCTTGGTAATACTGAAGTTAAAAAATTGAGACCTCGTCCCAGACTTGGGGGTAAATAGAATCATGTGAGATGTCTCCACCTAGTGGACAAAATGGTGTAATCCTACTCCTTTCCTCCTTTATGAACAAATGGAAAAGTGTAGCAGCAGCTTGAAGACATAATGAAAATCAACTGGAGGAAAAACGTTTTGGATGATTAATTGATCACCACAGATGGAAAAATAAGAAAGAAATTAGAAAACTTATTTTATCTGTTATAAGGCGACCACTAAGGGAATTTCTTATTTCATTTAGAATTTTAAAATGTGGTAATTCCTGAATGACCAGATCTGCATTCACTACATATCAAGGTATTTCACAAATATTTGTCCATTTGATTGTATCTGCACTGAATGTCAGGACATTTAATTAACTAGCCAGATTTCAGATGGGGGGAAATAAATGGCCTTATATAGAGTAGCTTAGAAAAAAATTAGTTTCTGAGAATATGCTAATTATAAAATGGAAATTAAAAGACCTGAGTCTTAACTGACTATTATTAGATTTCAATTAAGTCATTAGTTTCTCTCCAACCTTGTGTTGATCTGCATTTGACTTATTTTAGAAATCAAGTAATTCTTCTGTGCCTCAGTTTCTTCATTTGTAAAGTGAAAGTATGTTAATACTCAAAAAAGATTTACTGGTTGGATGATTATGTGCCCAGCACATTGATAGACACTGGAAACACAATGATTAAAACACAGTCCCTGATATCAGAGAACACACTCTTTAGAGGAACTACATAAAGAGATCATTTTCATACGAGACAATAAGAACAGTAATATACCCCAGCACATAGAAGTACCAAGGAACGGTAGCCAACTCAGCCCCAGAAGCAAAGAAGGCTGCCTGGAGGAGGCCAAACCCTCGAGTAAGGCTTAAAGGATGAGTGAGAATTAGTAAGCAGGGAAAGAGGGTGGAGCCTGGGAGGGCGTCCAAGCTGAGAGTACCAATATGGATTTGTAAGATGGTGTTATGGGTGGGACACACGACAAAACCAGGGTTCTTTGGAGCTCTTAAATGATTATGAATCCTAATAAGTGTACAGAGTAGGATCCCAAAGGGACTCTGATCTTATAAAGTGGGATGGTGGGAGAAACCCCGGAGGTGTCCCGGAGGGCCTGCCCTGGGCCGTCTGGCAGACTTGGCTTACCTTTTGTTGGTTGACAACCAGGCTTTTAGTCTCAGTCCCCAGTGAGTGAATGTGTTGGTTGGGTTTAATGTCAGGCTGGCTTGACCTCTTCAGTGGAGTTCAGTTTTACTATATTTATCAAGTAAATCTTGAAGAATACCATAAAGACTCATTAAACATGAGACCAATAAAGTGGTTAATGCTGCCGAGTCACCTTCTAACCCAGAGCAGTTGTGAATGGAACACTGACTTCCAGAAATGACATTCCAAAATCTATTGTGGTTCTATCCATATCTTAATAATCAACATTTGCCTTTTACTTTGAGGTTTTGTTTCTGCTTTAGTGGTGGTGATGGGTATTTGGTTTGGTTTGTTGTTTCATTTGGTGGCTGATGGTGGAAAAAAAAGAATTATTACTTTTACAAAATCATTACATTTTTAAACTAAGTATTTGATTTGCAAGAAAATGGATGTTTTATTCTTATATTAATTCCTTCCCTGTTTATTTCTGGTGTCAAAAGAACCGGTTTCTTCTTAAACTTTAAATGGCCAGTAAAGACTTGGTGAAATCCTTCAGTGAATACAATTTTGTCTTCACAGATACAGGCTAGTTCCAATGGTTTATTTTCCTGCACAAATTCACGACGTTGTACGCGCCACAAAGTACTTCCTGCGGCCGGAGGTCTTACACAAGTATTCGGTTGACCCAGGCAGAATTGGCATTTCTGGTGACAGTGCTGGTGGGAATTTGGCCGCTGCCCTGGGCCAGCAGGTAACAGACTGCCCTGAGGTGCTGGTGGTGGGAGGGCGCGTGATAATGTCCAGCAGACCAACACATCCTCCACTGTGCATGGCAAAGGCTTAGCCGGTAGGCTGGTCACTAGGGGCCAAGTTATTCAGATGACCACACTTAGAGACCTCTCAGAGATCTCTCTGAAGTAGAAAGAGGGGTCATTGAAAGAAGCATCATTTCTGAGTCCTCATAAAGGCCCTGATTTCAATTAATGTGAGAGGAAGGGCTAACACTTTAGAGGGCTCCCTTGCTCCTCAGGGACATGCAGGGAAATTGTGTCCCCTGCTCCTTTTCTGTGTTGGACTTGCAAAACAGGGTATTTTTGCTTAAATTCCAATTGCTAAGATTATTTCCTTGGAATTTTGAACCAAATTAAACAATGTTTCCCCAACTTTTTAATATAAAAAAAAATTAAATGGTTCAGGCACTTGACTGTTATAATATGAGTTAACCGGAGCTTTACCTGGTTGATTCTTTGAAAACTATCCAGCTCTAATAGCACCCAAAATTTGGGGCAGCTGTGTAAGCTCAAAGAGAAGTACATTTTCTTCCTCTTATGGATTTAATGACTGAAGAATAGCATCTCTGTCTTCTCACCTCCACATTTCTTTTGGTATCCTCAAAGAGCATCTGCCTTTTTATCTGTGGTGTCCCTTGTTTCTTCTCCTTTGCTATAGTTAAAGAACTTGGTTCTCCACTTAGCATTGGCAGGTTTGCTGTCCATGTGTCCAAAGGTGGTAAGAAGAAAGTCTGGGGCAGTGGGAAGAACATCGTAGGGGTTAAAAGCAGACAGAACTGGGATAGAATCCAGTCCCCCCCTTTGAGAGCTATTTGGGCAAGTCCCTTAACCTCTCTGAGCCTCAGGAAAATGAGGATAATGCCATCGGACTGCCAGGACTTAGTGAGATGATGTATGTATAATTCTTGGCACATATTAATAATACTATTAACTGATCATTTCCTCATGCTTTTACAGATCAGTTACATCTTCCCTGGGGATGGAGTTCTAAAGTCCTGTGTAAACAGAATTGTATGGCTAAAGTGACCTCAAGGATGGTTTAGTTGCCTATGAGACCCAGTGACCGAGTTAGCTGCCCTTTGGATGTTACATGAAAAATATATCATCTTAGACACTAGAGTTACAAAATGAGGCAATATATTCATGTTTCAGGGAGGCAGGGGGGAATTGAGATCTGCTGAGGGGGGAGATTCGTTCACATTTCTGTGTCAACTTCACTCTGGGGCACGTGCTCATTCAGTAGAATGGAGGGTGCGATGTCAGCACTATTTAAATCCTCGCTCTCTCTCGGAGCATGAAGACTAGATGCTCATCAGAGGAGGCACCCTGAGGTCCCACTAAAACACTTTGGAGTCCCATCATCTGCTCGTTTAGCTTTTCCTACTCCTCTCCTCTGGAAGAGTCAGACTAGTTTTTTCTCCCTAGTAAGCCATTGCCTTTTGGGGACTTGCAGGCAATATGAAACAAAATAAGATTCACACATTATCCATCCATAGTACCCAGCAAGGTGTGCTAAGTGCCAAAGGAGAAATACAAGTGTGAATGGGGGTTAAAGACCTAAAAGATCAGGTACCTTTGAAGTGTTCGCTCAAAACTGAGTGGCAAACATCATACCTTTCTCAGTCAATATCTAGAGGCTTGATAGGGTGATGGTGGAGGTGGGGATGGAGAATTAGTTATTTTTTAAACTACATTATTTAATACCATGCGTGGTAGAAATTTAACACTTATACCCTTTTGATTGATTCAAAATAACACATTAAACTACTTTATAAGATGTGGTTTCTGTCAAAGGAGCCATGCAAAATGAAATAATGTGTTTGCTTCTTCTCCAGTTTAGTCAAGATGCCAACCTAAGAAACAAGCTCAAAGTGCAAGCTTTAATTTATCCAGTTCTTCAAGCTTTAGATTTTAACACACCCTCATATCAGCAAAATGTGAACACCCCAATCCTGCCCCGTTACGTCATGGTGAAGTACTGGGTGGACTACTTCAAAGGCAGCTATGACTTTGTCCAGGCCATGATAGTGAACAATCACACTTCACTGGATGTGGAAGAGGCTGCTGGCCTCAGGGCCCGTCTAAACTGGACGTCCCTCTTGCCCGCATCCATCACAAAGAACTACAAGCCTGTCGTGCAGACCACTGGCAACGCCAAGATCGTCCAGGAGATCCCTCAGCTGCTGGATGCCCGTTCTGCCCCACTCATCGCAGACCAAGAAGTCCTGCAGCACCTCCCAAAGACCTATGTTCTGACATGTGAGCACGATGTCCTAAGAGACGATGGGATCATGTATGCAAAGCGTTTGGAGAGTGCCGGTGTGGAGGTGACCCTCGACCACTTCGAGGATGGCTTCCATGGGTGCATGATTTTCACCAGCTGGCCCACCAACTTCTCAGTGGGAATCCGGACTAGGAATAGTTACATCAAGTGGCTGGATCAAAACCTGTAAAGGAGTAAAATTTCTAGAAAGCTTGAGCCCCTCCTGACCTCCTGCACCTGCTTTGGAAAGACACGCACTTTTTAGTCGACTAATTTCCCCTTGTTACTTGTGAGTTATGGAATCTCTATTCTCTGCAGACTTCATGTTAATTTAATTTTTTTAAATGCATTTGACTAACGTAAGTGCAAAAACACCTGAATCTGGTTCTGAAAGTGGTTGTTTTAGCCAAACTACTACTAATACCCACAGCTGCAGAAAGCAGGACTAGGAGCTGGAAATAGCTCTGGGTCCTGCCTTAGTCAAGAAGTTCTTTTTAGAAGAAATTCTTCCAGCCATGGATGATAGAGTGATGTTGAATGAGTTAAGAAAATGTAGGCTCTTCCTCAGCTTGCTAGAGTTTGCTTTGAGTTCAGAGCAGTGTTAAATGTGTGTACTTTAAGGTCAGTGCTGGGTACCAAGTGCCCTCTGTTCTTCATGAATGGATGGTTTTGTTTCCTATGGGAATTTCGGCAATGGCGTTCTAGCAAGGACAGGTTCCTCAAATGACTTTCTTCCTTTATCATGTTAATTTTATGAGATAGCTATCTGTAAGTCCAGTTGGATGATGATGATACTTGAAAGTTACTTTCTACCACTATTATTAAAAAATATAAGGTTTGCATGCACTGGATATCTGTACATTGTTAAGTTCTTTGGTTATGCCGTCTCCTTGGGGGAGATCTTTGGGAGCAAATTTATTTAGATTTAGAATAAATTTTCCATTACAGAACAAGTAAAAACAAATGAACCAACCTATTGTTTTCATAATGAATACTTCTGACATGAATTACCAAGAGCAGTATGTATATATTTGGCGTAGTCAGAAAAGAAGATACATTTAATATTAGTTTAAAATTATGAAAAATACCTTTAGAGGGTCTAGTTTATTCTTGAAAACTCAACTTTTTCACTTACATGGCTTTAAAGTGGGGCTATTTTGGTATATATAATGTATTGTTTATTTTTTTAAGTTATTTAATGTTAATATATGTGGCTAGACTTAAGATTTTTCGGAATAATGTCAGTAACGAATATTAGAAATAAGGATATTTTTAAAAAACTACCTTAGAGTCTAAAAAATTAGAATTATATCCACATGTAATTTCTGGAAAGAGGTAAAATAGCTATTAATACTACTATGCATTAGGCTTAAATATTTTGATGTTTTTATGCATATACAAATTAAAATAACTAGAAACTATGACTATACCTAGTAAAGTCGTCTAAGTTTATAGTTCAATAGCTTAGGCAAGAAACACATGCTCATTTCTCTCTATGGTCAGAGGAACACTAGCTCCTGTCCTTCTGGATGAAGGGCGTACATTGGCCCCTGGCGCCTACATCTCTCATCGTGTCCTTGCAGCCAGGTCTAGAAGTTACAATAGCCCAAGCTTAATTTCGTGTAAAGCCTTCACTGCCAGTGGGAACATCTTTAGCATAGCAGGAAGCTCCGATTCTGATTGAGCTGAGTACCTCTGCCCTCCTTCCTGCCACTCGGACTTCTGCCCCACTCCATGCTGCTTTCAGGGACTGCAGAGAGCAGCCATGCAGCCGAGTCATGATACAGGAACTTCGTCAGTGGAGAGAAAGTAGATTTTACTCATTTGAAAGATGAAATATTTTTGGCAGTGAAATAACAGATGAAAATCTGCATCCTTATTTTTCATTTATTATATAAGCCAGTAGCATTTAATGTACAAAACAGAAGTAAATGCAACACTGTGTGTATGCGTGTGTGCCTGTGTGTATATAAAAATAATCATACAAATTAATGTGCTAATGTACTCAGGCAAGTCACTTAGCTTCTCTGGGCCTCTTTTCCTTTTCCTCTAAAATCAGAGAATTGAATTATTAGATCTCGGAGGTCTCTTCCAACAATAAATTCCAACCGTTTTGTCAGACTGGCAAACTGTATTGGCCTCTTTTTCTATAGTGGTTTCTTTGTAGGTCATTATTCCATATACAGAGGCACACGCATCATCAAACATTTTTTTTCTGTAAAACTAGGACTTTAGTTCTTACTCTGTGATAGCTACCCTTCTCATTTAATACTATACTTTGTGACACCATTTGAAGGAACCAATGTTTGGACCTTATTTTGAGGTTATCTATGTCTAAGAAAGCAAAGAAAATATAATACGTGCACAGAGTTCCTTAAAATCATATTTTCTCAGAATTGCAAGCCAAATCCTTCAGTAATTACAATGAATGATTCCAGATCTCTAAAAGGGCTTTCTCAGATGAAAAGAGAATGAAAGAAAAAAAAAGGACAACCACTGTTTCTGATGAAATACTTGAGTTTCATTAAAGCTTTTATATATGTGAATAATTTGTCTAATGACTTGCACTGTATCCCACCTCAGACCTTGCTTGAAGGTCTTCCTTGAAATTTTCCTTAGAATGATAACAATTGTAAATCATGACACACAAAAACCACAACACACAAGAGAGGCTAACCCAACCAAAAATCTGAGCACTGAGAACTCCTTTGGGAAGCCTATAGAGTTCATGTTGAAGATATTTTAGTTTGGAATGAGTTCGTTTTTAGTTTTTGTTTTTATATAAAAAAAAAGTTTATACTCTGCAGATTTTTTTTTTAGTGTATGGCTTTGTTTCATTTTCCTATTTTATGAAAAAGCTGATAGTCTTTTTGTCATATCATTGTGAAATATGAACAGAAATATATGAAGAAAAAACCTTGAAGTCTTGTAAAATATCGTGATGTGTAATGTTTTCTCATGAATTTGTGAAAAATTTCAGACAATTGTATAATTATCTTGGTGGATATAATATTTTACGCATGACCTTTTAACCTTTGACTTTTTGCTTATTTCCCACTGCAAAGGGGAAGGCAGATTTTATGAAGGATTTTAGTAGCAAATCTGTTTTGTAAAACGAAAATCCAGTGTGGAGGTAGGAAAGTATGTATCTGTTTTGACTCATGTTTGGAAATAAAATGGCTCCATCTGGGAATGTGCCTCGTCTCGTTTTCTGGTTCCCTTCTCTCTCTTTCACTCTGTGCCCAGAGCCACAATTCCACTCAAATCTTCTGCCCACTGGAGGACTCCAGCTGCCTTTCAGTCACTGAGAGGTGGTTCAGTGGCCTCCTTGATGACATTCATTTCATGTCTGAATACAGTATGTGCTGCTCGTATTGGGGAAACCTGCCCTGGACTGGCGAGAATATTCATAAAAGCCAGGCAGGCCCTGAGACTATTTTGGGACTTTTCAATACACGTATTAAGAAGAGATGATCATAGTGCAAATGAATTTGGATTTGAACTAGTTCAGCCAAAGAAATATCAATATCACCGAAGGCAAGTTCTCAAATTGACCCTGTCATTTACAAGCAAATCTAATAATTTCACATCTGGGTATATTATGCTTAGTTTATATCAATATAGGAAATTACAAAGCTTTTTTTTTCAAAATGAATTGTTTGTATTGGTTCTAAATGATCACATACATGTGATGGGCCAGCCCTGTGGCTCAGCGGTTAAGTGCACGCGCTCCGCTGCTGGTGGCCCGGGTTCGGATCCCGGGCGCGCACCAATGCACCGCTTCTCCAGCCGTGCTGAGGCCACATCCCACATACAGCAACTAGAAGGATGTGCAGCTATGACATACAACAATCTACTGGGGCTTTGGGGGGAAGAAAAATAAATAAAATCTTAAAAAAAAAATGATCACATACATGTGTATAAATTAGATTTTTGTATTTAATTATACTTACTTTCATCTTCTCCAACAAAACCTCTGGTGTGTGGCTATATTTTGCTCGAGGGATCTACTAACACTTCCAACAATTCTCCTTTGGGGCATTTAAAATGTACCCTATAGTGTTTTACTATTGTTTTTCTTGTAATTTTCATTTTTTTTTTTTTTTTTTTTTTT